CCTACAAAAGAGGCAAAAACCATAGGAGACTCAAATTTCATTCACATTTTCTGCAAAATCTGGTTTGTCAAGTATGGAATTTCCAGAGTAAAAGTTCATAAAAATGGAACAAGATGTCTACCTCTTGCATTCCTCTACATTTTTTCACACTTGCATATTGTTTCTACTCTAACACACTGCAGAAGCACCTGAAGCCTTGTCATATTTAAAGTACTATTTTAATAACTTGATTTCTCAGATTATTTATTTTGTTTACTTCTTATGTAAGGAAATATATGCCAAACAGCAACACATCTCATAGCCACAATATGTCTTTATTAACTAAAGACCCACATTAACAAGTTTACTCTTCGATCATTTTCAGGAGAGTTGTGCAAGAGTGCTGCTGTTCCGGGGAGCCAACAAAGAGATTAAGAATTACAACAGTCAGTCTCCATTTCAGGTAAAAAAGAAATACTCCTTCCCCGTGGAAATATTTGAAAAAAAAAAAAAATTCATGTGAACTTTGTTTAGTGGAGAAGTTACACTGCACTAGGCTGAAAATAGCTGTAGAGTCCGATAACTTATCATTTTGGAAACTGTGGCTTTTGTGTAAGGCAATGAGTGAAGATGTCCTGGAATAATCAGGAATGAGAGAAAAACACACTCACTCTTAGCTGTTAAGATGACACTGTCAATGAGTTTGAGAATTGTATGAGCTGTTGATGACAAAACATGGAACCATTGGTGTCTTGTAGTTGCATGTGCCTTGCTTTGGGATTGTCTCCAGTCCCACGTAAGAGAGATCCAAGGAGTGACTGAGTAGCTAAGCTTTGCTTGGCCTCTGTTGAATTTGCCAGAAAAAGGCTCTTCCTTCCTTGGATGTGAGGCCAAACAGCTGGGCGAAGTTTCAGGGGTGGGGTTGATTTAATGTACTCTCAGTAGTAAAAGTCAAAACTGTCAATATCTCCAAAAGAAAACAAAATCTTTCTTCATGTTAGTCAAAATGGACTAGATGTTTTTTCACCATTTTCTTATGTTAAAATACTTTTCTAGAAAGCTTAATTAAAAACTCAAATGGAAGGAAATTGTTTGTCCAAAGGGTTGTCAGATATGGCTGACAACCGTAAGCCCTTATTTCTGAAGCAGTCTTAATTAGCCTGGATTTCAGAGAAACATTCATAATGAAAACGGACATGTGAGAAATAGAGATGAAAGCTGTAATTTTTTAAGAAAAAGGAACACAAAGAATTTTTTCAAGTTACAGGAAATGGTGCTTCTGCAATAACGATGGCACAGTACCATTAAAGGGAACTGTCCTGTTGTGAAATGTGAGGGAGCTATTTCCCAAAACCAAGTAATCTTTCAACCAAAAGAAATCCTGATTTACCTTTGCTTGTCATATCATTCCCATGACATCCTTGACCCATTTTGGATAATGCTGGTGTAGAATTTAAGGAAGACCGCCTTTTCTCTCATGCTTTGAAATAGTTGGAATATTAACTATGTCCATGTGGGTCTCTGAGTTGGCTCCTGAAAGTTTACGTGTAGATAACACCTATGAGTTTCAGGGTCTTAAAAAAACCTCAGCCAGATATTTCTGTTTCAGTTTAATTACCTCCATATTTTGAAAGTTTTCTGGACAAAAGTTGTGCATCTCAAGAGCTTAAGAGTACTGCCTGCAAATTCCAACCAGATCATTGTTTACTTTTGGGACCATTTTCCTGAAATTGGAGAGACAGTGCATTAATAATTTAATTTTAGGCACCATTTTTAAACTGGTAATAGTTTGCCATCTAAATATATGCTAAGCACAAACTCACTAAGTGCTTATCCCTGCACCTTAGCATTATGGAGTGCTTAAAAATAGAATAAGGGAAAACCCTAATTATTGGAGGAATGGGTTCCAGCGTCATCTCTTTACTTTGAGAGATTAGATTATTTTATTATTGCGTGTCTTGGAGATGAACTTTTCTTTTTGTTTTAGGATTCTATGTGGGGAGGGTAAATGACAAGTAGAATAGTTTCCATTTGTCTTCCTGTCTGTGCTGATCGCTGCGACATTCTTGTTCTTCCTCTTAGAACAGAAAAACGCAGACGGGAAAAAGACAGAAAAGAAAATCTTTGTAAAAGCTTGTGTGGATAGTTGTAGGGATTCAAGAAGTGAAGGATGACTAGCCAAAACTAAATAAAATCAAGTGAGTACAGGAGACAGAAGAGTTAATTTCAAGAGAAGGGTGTAGCTGTGGAAGTGCACTTACTGACCAGTGAACTACGTCCTGTTCCTATGGAATAAAATCGTATTTGTTATCATTTGTTATATGTTAACACTTCTGATGCTTGGGCTTTTGACTGGTCACTCTCCCCCTAGTATGGGCAGAAGGACTGACAATTAGGTTGGCTTTCTTTTAACCTTTCTGGAGCCACATACTTAAAAAAAGGAAATGACTTTCTGTCTTTTTGCTCTATGGTGTGTTACTTTTAGGTGTAGAAAATGCAGGAAAAGTTTTAGTTTTTCCAAATGGACTGAGTAGAGAAGACCCTGTTGCCAGCACTGCAATAAAAAAGCATTAGAATTCATTCTTTGCCATCTGTCTGTTACTGACCCGGTCGATCAGACGCCACAAGTGGAGCTGTTATAAAATTATGCAGAATCCCCTTGAGTTAATAGGATTTTGCATACTGAAAATGTTTACTCATGTAATCAGTAGCAAGGAACATCGAGGTACCTCGTTTGTACATAATGAGAACGTTGTAGCTGCAGCATCTATTCCTTTGAGTAACCTCCATTATGTTCTTTTCTCAGAAATCTAAAAGGATGATTCTTTTGAATTGCTGCTTAGAAAATCGATGATATGAAAACTGTGCTTTTCTGTAAAACAGAAGTATCCAGACATGGATAAACTTGTGTGTTGCTTTCAAGGCCTGACAAAGCTTTATTTATGTTGACAAAAATGGGCAGCAGAGTTTGTCTAGCATTAGTGTCCAATGAAGGCAGTGTAATTTTGCCACCAAAACCAAAAATTGATGTGCGTGTGTTCACTGCTTATCAAATCACAGTGCTTATTAAAACAAGCTTGGTTTCACCAGATCATGTAGTCTGGACTAGTCTGGACTGAACTCTGTGCCACTTAATTTGGGTATCCGATGCTATGTACACATCTCTGCCTGGGATCTGGCTATCCTTCTTGCCTTTTCAGAGTCTAGCAGGCTTAATGTTGGAATGGCATTGCCAGATGTCGAGGCCATGAAAAAGCTTGCCTGTATTTCCCAATGAAGAACCTAAGCTTTTATTAGCTACCGTTGAAGAAACGCATTTCGTCCTGACTGATTACTGGGTTCTGTTAAGTTATTCGTCAGTGTTGAGAACAGTTGGTGTCACCCATAGCTGGAAGTCTGTCTGTGTCTGTCAACCTTAATAGATTGTGCTGCTGAAAGGATGTACTTTGCAATAACAGAATATAGGTCAGCAGAAATTTGTCTGTATGTTTTTTGTGGAGTCTCCCCCTGCTAATAAATATTAATGCTTGTATGGCAGTGGGGTGAACCTCCTCTGTCTTCCCTATGTGTGTTCCAAGTCGATTGCGGCAATTCCGGCATCACCATCCTCGGTTTAAGTGTGAGAATTTTTTGTCTGCTGTGTATTTTGTTTAAAGACTGACTAATAGAGTTAAGATGAAACCTGTGCCACATCATTATACTATATTGCCAATTCTGTTTATTGGTACTTACTTATCCATCCCATCTTGGCTGAGTAATCTAAGTACCTTATGCACTAATTATTCTGTGCTAACAGATGGAAAAAAAAAATCCGCATTACAGAGCTGGAAGTGCTAGCTATTAATACACTGTTATATACATTTAGCTTGACCATTTTTCTTTTCAAGTAACTAAAATCAGAGCAAGTCAGCTTTCATTCTGTCGTGGTTTAGGCCGATGTGGCAACTAAACTCCACACAGCCGCTCTCTCACTTCTCCTCCAGTAAAGTGGAGAGGAGAAAAATATAATAAAAGGACTGAGGGTCGAGACAAGAACAGATAGGGAGCACCCAACAATCATGGTCTTGGGCAAAACAGACTCAGCTTGGGAATTTCATAGATTTCATAGATTTCTAG